GGAAGAGGAGCTGACCCCAAGGGCTCAATAGAAAGTAAATGTCTAGAAAAGAACAATGGCAATATATGTATAAATATGTCTGATAGAATTGATGTAAGGATTGCAACGAGATGTAAGAGTCTCCAATAAAATGATCTTTAAAATTTTTAAATTAAAAAAGTATTGTTCAGGGAACCAAAAGAGAAGTCAGAGGAGCCGGCCCCAATCCTGACTATGTGGACACACCCCACCCCTCAGAAGAATGCTTTTCAGAGGACAGCACTGGGGCTACAGCTTGGGGAGAGGGGCCCATCGGACTAGAGCACACGGGAGAAATGCAAAGGGATGGAGAGGGAGGAGAGGACATCCTGGCCCACCAAGCCCCGAGGACGATGTTCCTGCTCAGAGCAGGCAACCACATGGGGAGGACCGTAGGGCTGGCCCCACCACAGAACATGGCATCCCTCACTGAACCATGACCCTGTGGGGGATGGCACTGGAGGCACAGTGCAGAAATAGTGCACGGTCTGGCCCCATCAGGCTGGGGCAAGGCACTGAGGGCATGCAGCAGAGCAGCAGGGGGCGCAAGTGATGAAACCCCCGGGGAATACCAAAAATAGACTTTGGAGACAGAATGGGGCACCCCATCAAACTTGATTGGAAAAGACTTGTAAAGGCCAACAAACAGAACTTGAACTATTTATAGGCTTTTCCATTTTTGTCATTGGCTTTCTTTTTGCTATTGTTTTTTTTGTTCTTGCTCTCCAGTGTAATCGTTTTGTTGATTTTGACTTCCTTTGTTGTTTTGTTTGGCTTTGCCTGGTTTTAGCACTTATTAATGTATCTGCATGTCTATCTAGATAAGATAGGCGGGATAAACAATTTGGAGATGAAAAGAACGGGACCAATGGTTCTGTGGGGATACAGGAGAAGGGGAGGTGGGAGAAAGGAAAGGGGGGGGTACCAACCCAGGGACAAGGGAACAACAAGTGAAGTAAAATCAATGGAAGGAAGTTCGTAGAATGCCTAGTGGGACTCAACCAAGGGCAATGTAGCAGCGAGCAAATACTAGACCCAAATGAAGGCCAAACATGATGATGGGACAAGAGGGAAGTATAAAGGAAATAGAGGAAAGAATCAGGAGGCAAAGGACATTTATAGAGGTCTAAATACTGGCATGTACATATGTAAACATATATATATATATAATGAGATGAGAATAGAACTATGTACTCATATCTATATGTTAAGAATTAAGGTTGCAGATGGACATTGGGCCTCAACTCAAGTACTCCCTTAACACAAGAACACTTTGTTCTAACAATCTGGCATTCTGTGATGCTCAACTTCCTGACACAATTGCTGAAGACAAAATGGGTGCATAAGCAAATGAGGTGAAGAAAGCTGATGGTGCCCAGCTATCAAAAGATAGAGCGTCTGAGGTTTTAAAGGCTTGAAGATAAACAAGCGGCCATCTAGCTCAGAAGCAACAAAGCTCACATGGAAGAAGCACACCAGCCTGTGTGATCACAAGGTGTCAAAGGGATCAGGTATCAGGCATCTAAGACCCAGAATAAAACCATATTCAAGGTGAATGGGGGTGGGATATGGAGTGGAGAACCAATGCCCATCTGTAGACAACTGGACATCCCCTCACAGAGGGATCATAGGGAAGAGATGAGCCAGTCATAGCAATGATGAAACACACAACTTTCCTCTAGCTCTTTGGTGTTCCTCCTACTATCATGACTTCAATTCTACCTTACAAATTGGGTTTGACCAGAGCAGGCACACTGCTACAGATAAGCGTCTTAAACACAGGGAATCCAGGATAGATAAACCCCCCAGGGCCAACAAGGAGAGTAGAGATACCAGGACAATTAGAGGAGGGTGGGGGGAAGTAGGGGGAATCGATCACAAGGATCAACCTATAACTCCCTCCCAGGGGGATAAATATCAAGGGTTCATGAGGGAGGATGGGCAGGGGAGGGAGGAGGAATGAATGGGAAGCTGATATCTGGGGCTCAAGTGGGAAGAGAATGCTTTGAAAATGATGATGGTGGCATATGTGCAAATGTGCATGACACATTGGAGGAATGTATGGATTGTGATAAAAGATGTAAGTGCCCCCAATACAATTATTTAAAAATATATACTGTTAGGTAAGGTGAATTTTGATAAATAGTATGTGGGCCCTGGAGGTACAATAGATAGGATGATGAGACATGAGAAAAATTGTGCTTAACAAATTTACTGTCTGAAACTTTTGAAAACATGGGGTAACACATAAAGGCACCCTAAAACAGCTGCATATAATGGTTCACATCTGCTTCTCAGTGCTGTATCCTCTACATTTAGATTCCTTGACAGGTAAATGCTTTCCAACCTGTCAGAGCCATGTCATTGTTATCTGACCCCCTGTTTACCCCTAGCTTGCTCTTCATAAGAAGGGTTTTCTTCTTTTGATGTCATGGTCCATAGTAAACTGACTAATGAGCATGAGCCTGAAAAGAAGCTGGTCACATGCACCCCATTGTGAAATGATGGGGTAGTCAAAAATGAACATAGCATGCTTAGGCAACTCAGATAGGGGGTGGTGGGCATGGTGGAAGCACCTGGCAAATCAATGTAGAAGGTGCCTGTGATTTGTATAAAGATGTGGTACTGTGCCTGATAAAGTCATTAATTTGAAAATCCTATCATTACCAAAACCACAACTTCCAAATGACACACACGCTGACCTCACTGTACACACACCAAGAAAGGGCAAAAGTCTTATACCGTCACATCCCCCGGATGTACCCCTTCAGTCCATACCCTCTAAACACCATGATGTGGCATCACCAAACATTTCCTCAGTTATATTCAGCATCTCCCTGCTGGTTTCCAGCATTTAAGTGGAACTGTAGCATCTCAAGACGAAAGACCTGCAAAAAAATTAAGTATCCCATTGGCCACAAAAGGGCTAATGTAAAGTATTTCAAGGAGTCAACTGTAATTAACAGGAAATATGGGTTGAAAACAATCCCATCTAAACCTGAATTTTGGTGTAATTCTGTGTTTCTCTGACACACATGGGCCAAAATTCTCTTTAATATCCATCTGTCCACTCTCCCATGTCCCAGAGACATTCATGGAGTGGTCATACAACAAAATCAAATCATTCCTACTTAGGCATCATTTAGGAAACAGTGCTGTGTGGCCAAACCAATGTAGCTTTGCTACATTTCTTTTGCTCTTCCCCACATTTTATAACAAATTCAACAAGCTGTAAAAATAGGAATGAAACAGATACAGAAAACAACCGGTGTGGAGGAAGAGAGATTAACATGTATTATGAGTATCCTACTTCCTCCCTTGAAATGTAAGGAGCCCTGGTAGGGTAGTGGGTTACTTGCTGCGCTGCTGACTGACATGTCAGCTGTTAAAACCCACCAGCTGCTACTCAGGAAAAAGATGAGGCTTTCTGCTCCCATAGTTAGTCTTGGAAACCCACAGGGGCAGTTCTTCCCTGCCCTATAGGGTCAAGATGAGTCATAATCAACTTGATCACACTGAGTTTGAGTCTCTTGGCACGCAGTTATGATTAGATCTTTGAGATGTCTGAACCACTAGGGCACTGGTCAATCTAGCATCTTGCTGGTTCCTGCAAAGATTCATATATAGCTCCAGGTTTCTTTGGACTTTTTGTTGTATGAAGTGCCTGTGTTTGGTTTGGGGATTTCATTGGTTTTGTTTTCCATTGGACTGGGGGAGAGATTTGGGATCCCGCACTGATATTTCTGAAAATATGTCTTAACCTTTTTCAAGCCCCTGAAAAGGGGCTGCGCGTGGATGGACTGTGGGCAGCTACTCTATGTGAGTGTGTTTGGGGTTAATAAGCACTGACACAACAAAAGCCACCGCTGCCATTGGACTGCGATTCACAGTGACCCTATATAGCAGTGGTTCACAACCTTCCCAATGCTGTGACCCTGTAATACAGACCCTCATGTTGAGGTGACCCCCCCAACCATACAATTATTTTCATTGTTACTTCATAACTGTAATTTTGCTACTGTTATGAATCGGATGACCCCTGTGAAAGGGTCTTTTGACCCCCAAAGGGGTGGCGACCCACAGGTTGAGAACTGCTGCTATATAGGGTTTCCAAGGCTGTCAAATCAATCCTTTTTCCCCCCTGCCTTTTCTTTTATTAGCGTTTGTTTTAAACTTAATTTATTCCAGAGCCATCAGTTTTTGCTTCTCCCATTTATTATGGGGTATCTTTTTCTTCTGTGCAACCTCCTCTGTGAAATCTCCAAACACAGGAACAATCTGTTCCTTTTCAGTAAGGATCATTTCAATGTGGCAGAGAGAGCTCATGTATGGGTTAATCTGACCATGAGCTCTGCAAAGGTGTTGACAATGAGAGCTTTGTTCACCTACAATGCTCAATGACCAGAGAACCCACATCTAAACCCTTTTAAGTTCAGCATTACCCTCTGCATTTTTAAGCACATGCAGTAAAAATCTAGCACTTCTTGAGCTGCTGATCCTGTGTCCAACTCCACTCTTTGGCCAGGGCACATCAATTCCACCATTGGGACATTGCAACAGCATATATTGCTTCTGCCAAGGGACATCTTTCAGATACTTGGGAGGCTGTTCATATATGCAAACCCATTGACCACCTGGGCAGTTTCATGGGTATTCTTAAATTGGACCCAAAGATTTGAACCTCTTGATTTGGAAGATTCTGTGTGACTCTCTGGGTCACATGAGAAGTGAACTATCTTGTCAAATCATCTTAGGCTGAGAAAGTTGTAAAACTTTATGGAAGCCAACAGTCTCATCTTTCTCCCTAGGACCAGCTGGTGGGTTTGAACCACTGATCTTACCCAATAGTAATAGCAAGGCTGACAGAATAGGATTTTTAATTCTCACTCTGTGCTCTAGAGTGAATGAACTGATTATTTCTTCTGAGGCAAAAAGGGTTTTATTGAAGGTATGGAGGGTGTGTATGTGAGGGGGAACCATCATACATCTCTTCTCAATTCTGATTCCTAAAACTAATTTTTCTGTCATAAATATCGCAGTTGTTTGATTTTTAAAACTTCAAGCATAGCTTTATTAGTGGAAGTTAGAAATGTTTGTTTTTGTTTTGATGAGAACAATAGAAAAATAAATGGCCATGTGAGTTCCATGGTGAATAATCCATCCCATTGATAGTGTGTTAAATTCTAAGTCATAGCAACTCTCTAGGACAGGGTAGAGCTGCCCCATACAGTATCCAAGGCTGGAAATCTTTTTTTAAAATCATTTTATTAGGGGCTCATACAACTCTTATCACAATCCATACACACATCAATTGTGTAAAGCACATTTGTACATTC